CGGGCCGAATTTTGGATGCTTTGCAGCTGTGGTCACGGGGGACTAAAGATGGGGGGTGTTCCTAATGTCAAACTTAAATCTGCTACGCTAGCACAGAGCGCCATTTGCTTCGTCGTTGTCTCCACATACCAACTACGGTTTAAACCGTTATATGTGTTTTATTCTCTATATTAATAATTTAACCTTTTTTTGGAAGTATAGAAAAGGCTAAAAAGAAAGAATTACACGCGTCATTGTTATCACAATAATATTTTTAACTGTACTGTTTGTTTTTGTATAACTTATGACTTACTTGAATAGTTCCTGATACCAATAACTAAATTTTAGAATCCTATATATGTTGGGTTCTTTAAAACGTCAAAAGAGTTACAAATAAGTTAGATCTAATGAGTAACAACATTTACTAAATACCATTTTAAGTTATCAAATGAACTTCACAGGCTAGCATAATATTTGTTCCCCGAAGTGGCCGAGAATTGAGATCAATCAATCAATTATAACCAAATGCAATCCGGTTTCATAACGTTCTGTAACGTTTCAGATTACTATCAGTCTGCTGATGCATTGGATGTTGTTAGCTTTGGTCTATGCTTTAATTAAGTTACTGAAGTTCGATAGTTGCCCATGGGAACTATTGTTTTCTTACGACATAGGTGGGTTAAGTGATAACTTGTAGATGTGCTCTCCTGGCTTGGTATAATTATAATAAAAATATATTGAAATAAAACCCTTTTAACGGCTTAAAAATGCGAAATATATCAGTTAACATGTTACTTTTATTTTAATTGGGAGATGTCTTTAATATTGTACTACTCGCGTGAATTACAGACAATACCAAAATATATTTATTATCAATAAAAAATAAGTACATGCAATAAGCGATAGATGACCTCTGTAGCTACATGGGTGACTTGCATTGCATCGATCGCAAGAGGTGAGTTCGAATCCCCGGGACACAATAGATTGTTTCGGTCGGGCTGAGCACAGATGTCTGATCGTGCTGTGTAACGGACACAAAAATGTGTACGTCCCGTGCCCCACAAGGGTAATCATTTGTAATCAATATCGGGTTTCTATACCTCAAGATTAATTCAGTATTTAAAATCATAAAAAAATGTTTTAAATGACCTCAATGTAAAAATTAACACACATTACTCGCCTACATTGAAAGTTGTTTATAATTTTTGACTAACTTTAATACTTATAAGAAATAAGACATACAAAAATGTCGCCCTTCTAACTATCTTTATTAAGTTTATAATCCTTTGTAGTAGTGTAACGTCTTATTAATTTTAATAAGGGCGTTTAATATTACTGTCTGTATTGTAAAGCTCACTGATTCGTATTGTTTTAAAGCAAATTTGATTGTAAACAGCTGTGTAACAATTTTAAGACCAAATTGTATTAAAACTTGTATTAGTGTATAAGGCGGGATAGACGATGTTTGTGTTCATAAATCTGTGTGAACTAAAGGCTAAGCTGTATGTAGCTTATTTTTTTTTTCGAAACGTATTTTTTAGTAATTGTCGAGTTTCCATTTTGAAGAAGACGTGCGAAATAAAAACGGCACCATTATGAAACTAAATGGGCAATCTTTAAAAGATTGAAATCTCATGCCATGATCTTTATAATGGATGTGTTGTCGCCTTATTCTAGCTCTTCATCCTTTCTCCTTGAGAATTTTTTTTCTCGTGGATATAGATGGTGTCATCAGCGTCGGTAAGAAATATGTAGACACAACTCTCACAAATTATTAGTAATAATGCATTTCTTTCGGTCAAATTGGATAAACATACAAATTAAATGTACCTAATATACATAGTGTCTATAGTGGAATAATTTTTTCAAGCACATCTTTAAATTTCTTGAATCACTTTCTACTGTTTCTTCGCCTTTAGTGGTCGCAGCGTGTGTCAAGTTATTTATACTAAAGCTTTCCTTGATATATACTTGAGCCTACTAACTACGGTCTCCCCATGACCATGGCTGCTGCAAACGTCGAAACGTTATAATGAATCTCTAAACAAGTTTAACTAATATATATCGCGTTTTAAACAGTTTAAGTATTTTATTTAAATGCGTAACTCGCATAAACTACAAACAGTAGTTCATTCAGTGTCGTTGTTTGAAGCCCACTGATCCATCCTGAGGCAGAGTCGTGGTTATCTAGTCCAGCTGTGGGATAAATACGTTGGGACGAACGATTTGTACTTAATCGATTTGCAGCTAAATATAAGCACGTATAACATTTCTCAATAAGTGGTTGAACATGTCTTACTCGCTTCGTATGAGCCGTACCGCGGGGAATAGTTACTTACTAACTTGTTTTACAGTTGAGAGCATCACTTTGTCCCTAAGTTATATTAACACGTCTTTAAACTGCTATTTTACAAGCTGGGTAAGAGCTGGTTGATAGAAGTTGTGTTTTTATAGCTTGCACTTGTGAGCGTTCAGAGTTTAAAATTAATTAATATTTTTATTAAAATAAATATGACACAAAAAAAAAACTACAATCAGCAACATAGACGTTTTTGTTTGGAAGAAATTTCTACACAAGACCCTGTCGTATAATTTAAGAATTTATTTAAAAATTTTAGGAGCCGAAATCCTTTATTTTACGGTCCATACTTTATAACACAAAAAGTGTATTCTTATTATTTTGACAACATCTTATAGAGAGTAGTCTTGTATAGTTTAGGGTTTTATCGTATTTATTGAGGTGTAAGGATGTCATATACTTATTCCAATGCCAGGTTGTGATGTACTTAAATATCAACCGAACCGGGTTTCGAATCCAGTTCCTCGTGATGAGCAGTAACCACTAAACCGACGATTCAGTTAAGTATATCTTTTATTCGTATGCTTGAACACTCAAATGATTTTAATAACGGCTTTGCAGCTAAAGAGCTTTTGTACAGCTCATACGCAGTAATTCAAGCTATTGTGCTAAGAAAAATAACATTTGTAACCATTGGTCAAAAGGCTTGACTATTGTTAGAGCACAATGCGGGCGTACTCCCAAACCAGATGACGGTAAATTGCTCCTTCCCTCTTTAAATAGAGTCACGTAACATATAAGATGATGTTACTTTCACTAGTAAGCAGTTACGTGGGTCCGGATAAAGGTGGACATGGTGGTATTAGCTGACGAACATTTACACTGTTTCGGGGTTCCGCATCTTAGAGCAATCTTTTTAGAGGTATATGTGGTCTATCTTAAGCTGATACGGTTATTCTGATGGGCTCTTTGATTTAATGATAGCAATGTATGGCTAACGGGTCGTGGATTCTATCCTCACTGGGTCCAACGTGTTTGTAATCAAATTATATTTTTTACTACTTTGTCTGTCCGGGTCACGAAGCGTCCAGAGATAAAAAAGCCGTCAAGTTTAATCGCATTTTGGACTACAGCGCATCGTGTTTAGAAGCAATATGAATTATTTCCCTGCTATCAAGTGCTTTTCTGTCATTTTCTTTGTCTCTATAAAAAAAAACATTATTTCCTTTTAATATATAGTAAAAATTACTTTTAATTTTTACTATATATTTTAGTAAAAACAACTATTTTATTTACCAAAAAGAAGATAATTGGTCTTATTCTCCGAAAAATTAAAATTGTTACTTCATATCTTAGATACAACGTCTCTACGTCTATATATTTAGTAAGAGCTTTGAATAATTGTTTATTCCTATTTCTTACAAATAACTTGTATTACAAGTATTTGTCGTAGCATATGCGTAGAGCTTCTGTAGCATCGTAGAGGTATTTGTAAAGAGGCTATGATGGTAGGGCCATAGTGATAATATTAAATATAATTTGATTGTATCTTTTATATCGGTTATTTGATGTTCCTCTGAATATAGTAGTATATAGAATCTTGAATCATTATCACATTATAACATTTTGAAATGTATTTTGATAAAATAAACATTTTTCTTTGATTTTCGTGAGTCAAGTTGTGTCAAGATACTTCATTTTTTTTAACCTAAACTAACGTTTACTATAGATCTCTGTCAATAATTGTTTTCCTATTACAAGAAAGAGCGTAATCTAATACTTTAATTTTCTATTATAATGTGTATGTTGGTTTTTTCAGTGGTCACTTATATTATATAACTTAGTAAAGAGAAGGAATTTAAATACTGTCTATAGTTTACGCGAGTAGTACACATTTAAATAAAACACTTTAACGGTTTAAAACGCGATATATTAGGTCGGTCTCCCCGTGACCACGGCTGCTGCAAAGCATCCGAAACGTCGGGCCGAAGTTAAAAATCATTTTTAAATAAGTTTAACTAATATATCGCGTTTTAAACCGTTAAAGTGTTTTATTTAAAAGAAGGAATTTAATTAAAATTTAACAATGAGTCTGTATTAACTTCTTTTTATATTATCTCATAACTCGAGATTGATTTGATAATAATCCTGAAGTGGTAGGAAGAGTGTAAAGGAAGGGTCGCAAAGAAATAAAACAACTGGTTATTGTTTGAACAATGTCCATATTATATTTATTATTACCACATACACACGGCACGATGTGAACCTTGTCTTAAATCATTGTATTATAATAGGTATATGTACATTGCACAATGTGTATACATACATCGCCATACACGCGCGCCCCGAGAGGCTGTATGATTATATATATCATAGTATTATGTACGGTATATATTCCAATAAGTTAAAGTGCACGGGTGCACGAAATCGGGCGATGGTCGTACCCACCGCTTTTTACAAAACCTCTGATATCATTATTAATAAAGAGATGCCGTAAAAACTAATTTATCCATCGTACGATTTATATCCATATTGTATACAGATTCATTGTAACATACTATACACGAAGAAATGACGAAAATATCGCGCCGGTGCCGCGGCGAAAACGCGGCCCGTCCGCCTATCATTAGGGTCCTAACTTTAATGTACATGACACCAAATTCGAACGTATATAAATCCAAATTTATTTTAATGTAAAATCTTAGGTAATTGATTTTTATTGCTATAGAAAATCAGTCAGCACGCGAAGCACGTAATCGAGAAGTAACCGCGAGAACGAAATGAAGCGGGCGGCGTTGCGCGGGGCGGGGAGGGGTGCCGGGGATGGAGCTTGCGCGAGCGCCGGCCACGGCGGGTGCACTGTGGCGTCACTGCGTCCGAGAAAGTTTGCTATGAACCTTTAATGAAACAAAAAGCGATTTGATTGCGGTTTTGGCCGTCACCATGCCAACACGACTCATGATGATGAATTCCACGTCATATTACGGTGATTTTGGTTGTGACGTCACAGAGTCCGCCATCGCCTCAGCCCACTCTTGATTCTCAATCGCAACTCTCACTGACACGCTCTGTTGCTGCAATGATACCGAACAGTTTGAATCAGTTCGTGCGGAGCCAATGCGCGTCCGGTTCTACGCGAATTAATTTTTATACTTTTTGGTCCTTGAATCATTAAGTTGGCCATAGCCGAGTATGCAAAGCTACTGATCTATAGCCGCCGCGGCGACTCTACGAACATTACCAGTCTGTCACGTTATTCCTTTAAAATTAATTATTATCTTTAATAACAATACAAGTAGTGTAAATTAATGTAGAAAGTTATTATACAAAATAGAATAAATTATCTTTTTAGTTAATTTAATTTTATATATAGATGGATATTATACGATATTAGAATCACATAAAGAATTTTTAAATTAATTTGAGATCTCGCTTATTAATTATTACGTAGTCTTTACTTTGATATAGAACACATTTCTAAAACTGTGACTGAAACCAACTAACGCGAATGTTAAAAGCGAGAGGAAGTGGCAGATTTGTAAGTAATCAGACGTCCGTGCGGTGGCGAGTCCGGAGCACTGATGGTGGTCGTCGACGACTTAGATCGAGACAAACGATTACTCACAAGCCAAACCGCGCCTTAGCTCTCTACACTGGACATAATATTATTGTTATTTTATTGCTTATAGACATTGTCGCCTCCCGTTTATTAAAATGTTCGTAGCACGTTAAAATTATCCGTAAAACAATATTATGGCCCGTGTCCGGTCTAACCTCTAACTTACAAAAACTTAACAGAAGAACCATAAAAATAATGAAACTAATATCTTCGTCAAGCTAATCCTGATTGCGGCTCGAATGAGTCTAATAATATCGATCAGATGGTATTGACTAAGTCTTTATACATGCGGCTATCTATGTATATACAATAGTATTATTTTGTCTTAACCGTCTCGTGCAATCGCGGCGAACCGATGGCTTCTCACGAACGGGCGTAACGAACTCGCTCACTATAATAATTAAGTATGTTTGTACTCGAACTCGCACGGGAATAAGCGGCCGTGAACGCTTCTCCTACATTAAAAAGGTCGGTAAGAAAATATAATTATAGTGAGGATGTAGAGGTGAATGAAAAGCCGACGGCGGGACGGAGCGCGCGCGTCGCGCCGCCGCCGGCCCGCTCCTAACAATATAACATTTCATAATAATTAAATATTCTAAGAAAAAATGTCTTAAATACCTACAACACCGTAAATATAAAACAAATGATTACGTTAATTTGTTAGGTATGATATCGTTTTCCGACCGTCTCGCAATAGACTCACACCTTCGTTTTAATTATCAATTTCCTAGCTAACGCTTAACAAGAGAAACGCGGCCTGGGGTGCACAGCGCTCGCACCGCGCGACATCTGGGCCCAGATTCTGCTATTTGCACTGGCCTTTTGATTGCATCTTTTCACCTCCGAGACAACGTCGTCTCATTTGTTTTCTTACAGGCGATAGAAAATCAGTAGAATACCGTTTCGCCACTGTCCGTGAATTAGCAGAATAAGGGCCCTGCCGTGGTGTATGTCGTAGAGACGCGTCGCGCGAGCATCTGTGCCCATGCGCAGAGCTCGTAGCCCGCACCATGGACAAAGTAGCGAACGATGTCTGGCAAATTAAAAACGCGAAGCGAACGCGGCGGACGCGCTCCGATCTAACATTCCTTCATTCAATTAACTACGTACCCAAGTAATAATAATAAATTACCTTTAAAAAGAATATTGATTAATTTCGTATCATTTTCAATATTTTGTAACAGGAAACATTTATATTTATAACGTATTTATATAATAATAGCATTTAAAAGATTGTTCATTATTATTACCTAAAATTTTATATCTAGATTTATAATAATGTAATTGATGTAATGAGTAATAGTAAATAACGAATGGTTGTAACCACTTGTGCACACGAGTACGAGTGCTCGCGCCGCGCCATCTAGCGGTCTCTATTGTCGAATAGACAAAGTGGTCGAATATGTCTCAGTACCTAACGAATATGTTTAATGAATTGACTTCATATTTACTCTATTACCACAACTTTGATCGTCTGCTGCAATGTCTTACCTGTGAAACTATATGCGTTTGAGTATGAAAATTTATCGTTTATCGTTAATATTTTAATTAAACTTGAAATAGATCTAAGTACGATGTGGCCCCGCTACGGAGCGGAGACGTGAATATTTTTCAACAGTGGTCTTATATTTAAGTTAATTAATACAATGGTAAGAAACAATGAAATATTAATTACGTAATGCACAAAATCGTATTCATTATAATTACAATGCCTACATTCAAAGGTACAAGATAGAAATGAATTATTATCTTAACAAGATGAGAGATATATCGAACGTTTCGACTTAGCTTCTCAAACTTCCTTATGTAATCGTAAATATGATGATGTTATCCTTAGGATAAAATTTTATATCATAATACATATAAGAAAGTATGTATACGAATCTAACGTAGTCTTATAGGGAAGTAATCGAGAAACTTTAGCTACAAAACCAAGACGAGTACATCGATGCGAAGAGGTGATTTTATACAATTCGAATTAGGCAAAAATAATTACATTTATAGATAAAATATGCGCAATATAGTTAGTATAGTCATTATTTTAATATTTGAATTTATTATTAAAAATAGAATAAAATATTTGTCGGTGGACGAGCGACGAAGGTAGCGGCGGTCTATTCGCAGGCCGTGTTATTGTCTCCGAGCTGGGTGTCGCCGACCGAACAGCCTCTGCCGATATCTACCAGCTCGACTCTTCACGCGGAAAAGGGCTAACTTTATTGCTATTACAAATCGACTCTGCCCGTAACCCTATAAAACCTTACCGTTATCATAAACGTCCTACAGAGAAGAGAGTTCGAAGGGTAGGCACGAATTGTACAGTATGCCCAGGAATTGTTACGCTATCTAATGAACTAAAATCTCGTCGAGGGATTGACTCGCGAGTCGTCTTAACTGTAATTTAACTATGAATATTAAAATATTAAAGATACACCTCCCTGCAATGAAACCATCTAGATGCTTTATCCTTATGAAATGTATTTTAGTATTGACAACACATCTACGATACAGTCGAAGCGAGATTGAAAAAATACCTGTTTAATCGATAAACTATCTCTCGTTCACACGACAAAAAGTAGATTATTTACAATAGGGTGTCTTTTGGGGGGGCGTGAGTGGGGGGGGGGGAGTTTGGGAGGGGAGAGTGGGATCCATGTGAGATTGAGATGCCGCGGTCGACGGATCGGTCCGCGCGGTGGCCGGACGGATTGGTTCACCGTCGCCGATGCGGCGCGCGGCGCGACGTTGCGTTAGGCTGGCATATGCCAAGCCACTGGGGGATGTCAGGCCTAGGCTATGGCACAGGCGGTGTTTCGCGGTCGGCTTATCGTTCAGTGTGTTCGGACGCCGCCACGCCGCTCGCCACCTACACATTTAACAACAATGATTAATGCGCCCCTTTCTAAAATTTAAAAATATCCTATAAAATTGATTAAACATTCAAATTTAAATTGCAAAAAAAAAAAACATTTAAATTGAAAAATACACAAAGATAATCTAACAAAAAAGTATACCACTTGTAATATCTTACATTTTGAAAAGTAATGTTAAAATTAATGTACAGTTAAGTTATTGTTAAAGTATAATAGGGAGATAAGGTAACCAAAACCAATGTGTGCCATATTTGTAATATTTTACTATAGTTTTGAGATAATAAATTAATGTTATTTGCTATTACCAAAAATATATTTGGTGTAGAATTCTAAAAAGAGGCCTTTAATCCAATTTACAATAACCCTGGGTTGGATACAGGCAAACGAGTACGTTAAAAATGTAATCCTTCCCCAGTTTACTAAGCTCTCAGCCATTTCTTCAACAGCCGTGTTAGAATAAAAGCTAAAAGCACGTTAATGTACATGTAAGCAATTTTAACTATCGCATATTTTAATATATAAACGCTGTGCTTTTAAACTTAATTCTCAGTTTGTGAAAACGAGTATTAGCAGTGGAGTGCTCGCATTCGCAACAATTACATATGCTCGTTCTTTTAAAAGGCTATTTTCACATAACGACATTTTAATTATGCACAAGATAGAGTACTTACGTTAATTTTTGTGCTGTTGCGCTTTCAATGGTATCCGTTGGTGAAAGCCGCAGGAATCAGGGGTCCCTGTAATGCGAACATACTTTTAAGTCCTTCGCTCTCCATTATTAAGTCACAATAGGTATATACGACAATTTGACGTCCAAAAACAAACGAACGAATATTACCACCAAACCACTAAGTTTTTTTATGATAGAGGACAGATAAGCATCGGGGTCATTTGATGGTAATACTTACCATCAAGTGCTTGTCCCTTTTAGATATTATACCCCAGTCGCATAATATCTAAAAACGATGCGTTGAATGTAACGGTAGGTAGACGGTGGTTTGTGTTTCAATTTCAATATTGATTATAGTATGTAATTGTAATTATCCCAATACAGTATTTCAAACCACTCAGCACAAAGCGTATCTATGCACCTATAACAAACACTTTTCAGTTTTAATTTCCCTTCATTCCCGTATAGTTCCGCGTCGTAATTGAATGGGAGCATCGATCGATTGGTTGTTAACCTCTCCGGGGCAGATTTAAAGGTATTCAGTGTCCACAGTCGATAGAGAGCCTGTGGATTCAGTAGCCAACAAAATAAAAATAGCTCTGCGTTAGAGCGACCGCTCGGCAGCGGTAATTACACCGCTTGTTTCCCTTGATTTATGGTTATTGCCCGTGGGGGCATTCCCGTTACCTAATAAGACCATTTTACACCCGGGCACCACATGTGCCGCGTCCGCTTTACCTACACTGCGCGTCCATTTTACGCGTTCATTACTATTTTCTATCATTGAACGAAGATATACTTATCACTCAAAAATTACTGTTGTAGTCTGTACGGCGAATACGTTATATTTTTGATTGATTAAAGGGAAGTTCGGTGGATATATTTAAATGTCTTGTTTAATTAAAATACAAAATCTTTTAACTACGGCGTTTTTTACGTAAAAATGAAGTCTGATAAAAAATGACTAAATTAAATCTGACATACATTTATATTATCATTTAATACATCGATTTTAACTAAATTTTTTCATTAAATACATTGATTTAATTGTTTGAGCTAAGATGTTACCTTCTTTTGTATAAATACGCTTCTAAGCCTAACCTTTGATTTATCCATATCTCACAATTTGAATCACCGACTTAAAGCTATCGCGAATTCACGATCTTTTTTACCCAACGTTAATGTTCACATTATGCAAACGAATGGCAGCTTTAAAACGTTTTGAAAAATGTCGAAAGATGGGTCGTGAAGAGTTAAGATCTCGGTAGCGCGGCGTTGGCGTCGACAAGCAATGAAGACTGATGGCGTTTGGAAGCAGTTATGCAGCGCAATCGCAGTTTTAAAAAGCCATTACCCGCGGCGTTGCACCGCGTAGATTGGAGCCTCATATTTCGGAACACTTTATAATCACATCTCTCACGCTTCACTTCCTCTCTAACTTATGGTGATTACGCCTTAAGAGCGACAAGCAAGATCGGCTCCCTAATGAGATTGGGACGTCTTGCTAAAATTTTAGTGTCACGTCTGTTAATTGCGTCTGCCGCTCGTCGTCTCTCCTAGCGATGGAAATTTTAAGTCCATACGAAATTCGTTATCAAATATCTCTATCGGATACTAGTTCGCAATTAACACCGCACTTCAGAGTCCCTTCGACGGAAATCAAGAGCCGAAGAAAAACAAAACAGAACAAACATTAATTTGAATTTTGCGACAGTGGAAAGTTTGCGGGGACAATTTTATGAATTGCTTTTATTTGAACCTCACTGAAATAGGCATTTTTGAACATGACGTTATAAATGAAAAAAGTTGTAATCGAAAGTTAATAACTTTATCCCATTTATCACGTGAAGTAGGGATGGAACTTTTTCTTATTCTCCGTTCGAGGTATAGCGGTTAGTTGGGAGAAAACTTACTGGGGTGTAATTGAGGGGTGCGCGGCTAACAGCAATGGCTGGGAATCCGGAGGGCTGGGGGCTGGCTGCTTGCACGTATCCGACGCTGTCGGCGGCCGATCCGTAGACGTCTAGCGCTGGTCCCGGCGAGCTAGCAGCGGGGAAGCCGGCTCTGCCTCCAGCCGTGTGCGGTGATGCTGGTGGTCCGAAGCCAGCCGCTGCTGCTTGGTAGTTGTTCATAACTGCACAACCAAAAACATTAATCATGCAGTGATAATTACTCAAACGTCTCAAAATAGTCCATCCATTTTGTTTACAAAGAGTTGAATCGAGATCTAATAAGTAAAGAAATGTTTTTCTTTTGAATTACTATCCCCATACTTTGAAAATAACTTAAATTCTTCGAAAATACATAAAAATGTATTTCTTTAATTATCTATTTACTTTATTGTAAGAATGGACTTCAAAGTTCGATGACATACATTTGCCTTTTTAAGTGACAATAAACATATGTTTTCCCATTAGTCGTTTAGGCCTTTTAGGAGTTAGCAAATATAAAACGATACCTAAGTTCTAAAATGAGAAACGACTTGGAAAAAGCATTTATTGAGGTAGTGTGACAATCATGCATGTTCGTAATTCGGTATCGTTTCATAGTTGTTAAAGATGGCGCCAGCTGTACACAACTCTTTCACCATACGGTTACCCATGGGTTCCGTAATGCAATTAGTAATGGGATTAGTGTTAGGTGATGGTGACGAATGTGATGGCGGTCTCACCTGAGAGCGCTTGCGCGAGCAGCGGTGTGTTGTTATTCGGTGTTAGTTGGCCGTTCGTCAGGTCCACTGCAAACATATTTATGGTTCGCATACTTTGACGTGAGTCAACTCAAGTTACACACATTCTATGACTGAACCATCGTCATGTAATCTACGCAAGATGTGTTGTTGACCTATTTTGGACGTATCTGAGATGAAGATATATCCCCGAGCTAAAGATATCACGAGATAAAATATTGTGTAAGTATTTCACGTGCATCAGAGGGGAGAGGGAGGTCGAAGTTTCGCGCATATAAATCACAGAAGCAGAAAAAACTTCTACAAGATACCCAGTAAATTATCTGACGTGAGTTCTCGCTTCGCGGTCTGCTTATTGAATAGGCGCATTAGCATGCCATGCACGTAGCGTTCTACGCGCCCGTTGCGTTCGCGTGGCGTCTTATCGCGTCGTTTTCGTCATATTTATTTAGTGTTTTTCACATAGGATCTACGGTTGAGGGCTCTAATTTTTCATGACAGAGAATAAACAGCTCCATAGAATTTAAACAAGATGCCTATCTTGGCTTGGGGCTTTCAAAAAATTCACAGGTTGAAACTGTTACGCATATTTACACTGTTGTTTTTTCACCTGTAGACTTATTTTGGGTTTTGGAAAACGCGAATTAACACTATACGGTTTTTTCATCTGTTGACGGTTGGTTTGCGACCCGAATGGAAATTCTATATTTCTGAATATCTATTCTTAAGTTAGTTCTTCGCATAATTAGCTTTATTAGTTCGTTGTCCAAAATAGGGTACGTATTGTGATAGCTATTTTCTTTACTTCCATTGTAATAACTCACGGTTCAACAATTTGCGCCAACTCACACCATTAGCAATATTGGCTTGTAGGACAAATTTTATTTTGTCAGATGTACGAGTTATGATTTAGTGTGAAAAATGACGCTCTGCACCAGGTGATTACCGGCCTGCGAGTGACTTTGCAAAAAAGCACAATATAAGTAATGGAGGATAAATGATAGATGGGCTGGCGGCCAGCCGGACAGCGTAAGCGATCGCGGACCCCTTGCGTTGCTTGCTAAAACGCTGACACATTTTAATAATCGTTGTTTACTTTTACGAAAACCCGCTGAAGTGGCTTGGTGGGTCTACGCCTATAAAACAAGTTTTTCATACAGGAGTCGGTGGAAGGTGTCACAGAGGAAAAACGAATAAAAAAACATGACTGCCAAAAATAGGCATCGCAATGCGTAACGAAATATCTATATCAAATATCCAAAGGAAGTTATTACTTTAAAGAAATAGGGTTAAGTGTGGACTTGGTGACTCTATAGGTCTCTTAAAAACAATAAGACCGTATCTCAGTAATAAAACAAGAATTGGGCCAAATAACTTTAACCGAGTGTTATCTACACCGGTCATATCTGTAACGGACGTTAACTTTGCTCAAGCGCCTTGTTGCTAACGTTTAATTTACTTGTATTAACCCACGTTACAAGAGTAATTTATGCGTTACCCCTCAAGTTTCACAAATCTTAAACTACAAGCTCAGTGGATGAAAATAATTGCATTACACACACTAGTGACCAGTATACGAATCGTTCGAATATACATAATTTTCACTTGTTCATGACATGTTGTATAAGTTATAAATATTGGGTAATCAGACCGCTTCTGTATTTGCGTTATTGTATTAAGCGTGAAAGGTCCTGTGTTCGAATCCAAGGTAAACGAAAAATGGTTTCGGTCGGGCAAGGCACTGAAACCTTTTTTGTTAGTTGTTAAAGAACGGATCAGTGAAGCGGACACAAAATGGGTCGCCCCATGCCCCACGAGGGGGAACGGGATTTTACTTATACAAGGATTTAGAAGTTCAATGTATATCGCTAGAGAGAGTTATCGTACAGTTTGTTACAGCGTTATAGTTTTTTTTTTCAATCTTTATAAAACACTTTAATAATATAATTTTACGGGCGTTCCATACAAATTGATAAGGGCCTGAAATCGGAAAGAAACTTTCAAGATAACAGCTCCAATTTCCAGTTTTATTCGCTTAGGTGCGAACTCCCAGGGACTTTATAGAGGTACAGGGTGATTCGCGCCCCGAGTAAGCCTTCTCACCTCTTCGGAAGCACACATTCATCTATAAATTCAGAGGTCGTCTTGCGAGAGCTATTCGAACTTTCATAATTGCGAAGTTCGGAGGAACTTAATAATTCTTCTTCAGAAGTGGGATGACGGCCGAGTCGTGCAAAATATTCACAAGGCGTTCGCCAGCCCACCCTCGAGATGATATGAACGTACGCACGCCTTTTATTTGGGGGTTGTTTAATGTTACATTTTCCTATATTTACTTCGCGTTTTTCTATTTACCAATGGACTACAGATAAAGGAATTACGTTTATAATAAAATTTTGAGTAAGGGAAATTTTAAATACCGTTTGTAATTTACGCGAGTAGTACGCATTTAAATAATATATAATAGAATACATATAAATAGATTTCGCGTTTTAAACTGTTATGGGGTTTAATCGAAAGGGAAGTGTTGTGCGTTTTATTACGCAAGAGCTTTCCGGATTTAGATCTTAGATAGTCTGTTTTCAGAATAAATTGAATTATTAGTATTAGTTAATTATAAACTAGCTTTCCTGAGCTTTGATTCGACATAATAGTAAACTCAGTCAGTCTTATATAAATTATTTTAGGAAAAAGTCGAAACAGCAAACATACAATATTAACAAAATTTGGAGGCAAACATTATTTACGTATTCAAAAGTTGTAGAGTCACATATCTCATCTGCGTAATACCCATACTTCATTTCTCACTTCGAGATTGAAATGTATTATTTTAGCTTTTACGTGAGTTTTGCCCTTACGCCGTATAGAAAACGTATATTTAATAGCCGCCATCAATAACTTTCCTTCTCGTGAAGATGATACGGCTTCGCGTTCAGGTTCGGAATGTTTTTGGCCGACAGGATTTATTCCCGCTACTCTCCTTCAAATTAATATCGCCTCGTATACATTCTCGTAATGGGAAAGTAATTTTTCTTTGTTATATCAAACATTCTAAACTAATTACAGAAATAAGATTCGGTCTCAAGGGCATGCGATGGTTCAGTCATAGAAGAAAATTTAAAAACATGTAAAGCCACACTTTATAAGCGAAGAACAAGAAATATGAATCACACAATTAAGGCAGAGAACTGTCAAGATATTCTACATTAATTACTTGTTAGTAACAACATAAATCTACCCACATTGTTAAAATACTCGCGAGATCGCTGTCTACTTCACTACGAATGTTATAAAAAATATTACTATTCTATCATCGTTGTTTACAAATAGATTCTACTTATTCTAAGCATTAAAATAGTTGATACTTTTACACTTATTAGCCTATAATACGCCTAAGGCATAAATTAATTAATTTAAGACTATTCTATAGCTTAGATCTAAAATAATCACTACCACATGAGTTTGCACCACCATTATTTTGTACTTATCTACGGTCTATATTCTTAAGCATTGCTTATTTATCCTTCGTATTCTCCAAAATTACGCTAGGCGTAAGCTCTACTTTGTTCGAAGGTACCTGATTCGATTGAAAACGTCTAAATTCTATACTATTCGAGAAATCCGCTAATCATATTATAGATTTTCAAGTCGAGTCTACGATTTCTTACAGTTTCTTCACCCTCTAGGTCTATAGGTCTAAAGTTATCGGCTAAGCTGTTCTAAATTATTCCAATTTCAATTCTATTCCTGTACTACACTTGTTAATACTTTTCACACATTTTACGCACAAATGTTGCCTACACTAGTCTATCGTCAACGTTGTACTGATCAAACGGATGTTCAAAGAAAATATTACTCGCCCTAGTATCGTCGAGGTCTCCTTTCACCATACAGCAGTTTTTCTTGGGTTCAACACTACACTTCGTTATACCTATACGATTCTACAGCGTATACACAGTTATGTGATTGCATAATGTAGTGGCTCAGAAGAGATATATTTTTATTTAATTTTCAATTTGTGTATTCCAATGGTTATAAACATTAAGGGAGAGTTGGCAGTTACGCAAAGTACAAGCCCGCACTCCTGAAACGTATTTTTTTTTTAATTAAACAGCCTTCTGTTACAGTCCTAATTTTAACTTCCTCTTCGGAGTTTTGTAGCACAATTTCGCTTGTTTACGAGTTGAGGCATCACGTTTCTCAGTGTCGGGGCGTATGTGAAAAACGGGAAGCTATGTAAAGTAGTTGTGTATGGTTCGCGGGCTGCATTCTGAGGGCGAGCGTGTTGAATGCTAGGAATCTCGAAGATGCGGCGCGCCCGCGGTCTCACATCTCTCCCCGGGGACATTGTTCTACGTAAGTATAACGAGCTACCTTGTTACTTGATAGTGAGTAAATCCGATTTCGAAATCGCTCTAACCGTATATTGGAGTCTAGAATGCCTCTGCCAAGTTAACCCACAACTATCACAAAACTATCACGAAAAAAGAAAAGCATTTACGACTTAGGAGCAGTGTATGTCAAGCGCGTTTCAAAATTAGAATTATCTCTTCCAGCCACTTTGCGTCCGATTAAATAAACTGGTCAGTAAGACAAGACATTTGCTTATACATTGGCAAATTCCTTTATTTTTAAAATATAGCGGCTTCACAATAGTAATAAGTAGATACCTTATAAGTAATTTAGACGATATGTCGAAATAGTAAGAACAATATTTGACTTAAACAATACGTTGACATTTGGATTACAATTTTAATTATTATAAAAATTGTGCAATATATACCTAAGACGTAAACATGGGATCGCTTCCTGAGGGATACCGCTTAATCGGACTCGTAATTGAACTATAAGGGCGAACCTAGTCGGGCGATAGCATCTGCGAAATCGCGTTTTCTTTGGCGAAAACCAGGGACATTGCATTCCTTACAAAATGAGGCTTAAAAAATTAATCACGAGGAGAAAACCGTTATCGTTCGGGTAAACTAAGTTGCGGAGAGTAGCGGTCGCGCAGTATCGTCCATCGCAGAAATCTATGAGCCGTGTGCGAACCCGTTTGGATTTACATACTCCACACCGAGCGACAGACGACTTTCCAGTGGTATAACTCCCAGTACACCTGCGATAACAAAATAAAAAAGCTACAAAGCCCGCCACGGAACTAAAAAGGACTGAGGTCTCGCAGAACCGCGGCGCTCAAATTAAAAATAAGCCGAAAAGTGTGTCAAAAAGTGGCTTCGTTATGTCGAGTTTACGTTCTCAAATTAGAAGAGCTGTTAAAAGTATTACGGAACAAAACTATGTTGAACATCCGACGGTTCCACTCGTCGAAGGTTTATGGGGAAACTTGCTTCTTAATCACTACTTAGGCTTCATAGTAATCACTATGCTAGTGAGCACGCACTTTAGACCAAACTCCTATATTTTTTGAACACGCACAACCAAAATGCAGGATAGGGAATGTTATTTTACGCTTAAGTTGATTACTTTTTTTATATTTACATACCGTTGTAGCGACGTGCGTGCGAAGCGAGAAATACATACGAATAGAGTTAAACACGTTTAACAAAGGTCGAATTAAGGTTTTTCTTAAGTGACTAAAGTTATCGATCTGTGGCCACACATTATCATTAAATTACGATTATTTAACTTATGTATGACTAGTTTAGAGGATGGCGATTAGGACGGTCGCACATAGCGATATAATGATCGAATCAAAGTATTGTATACAAATAATTTTTTGACGAACATTTTTGAAAATAATATTTGCGAGGCGTGGCGATGTTGCGGTTTAGCGTGAATCATTAATTATCCTTCTGTTGCGCCAATGATAAAAGTATATCGTTATTTTAAAAAAATACCGAATCGCTTTATAACTTTAACGCGAGAATTGTAGCGTAAAATAGTTGCATCCAAAAATATTACAACAACAACAATAAATATTAATATTAATGTAACATTATCGCTTAAGCAGTGTAAATATTTTAAAATATAATAGAGAAATAACTTTTAAACACAAGTCATGTATATACAATTACGTAAATATACAATAGAATAATTGTAGCGAATACAATAAAGGTATTAAAATAACATTTACAAGCTCGATTATAGTATTTTACGTTAAATAAACGAAATCTAAACTAAGACTAGAAAGTGCTACTGAAATTAAGAGCTATATTTTCGTTGATTCCTATTCATCCTCTAAACTGAGTAATTATTAGAAATTAATGTCTAAACTCTACGACGCTACCTGACTTCAAATCTTAATATTCTAGGCAAAGATTATACAAGTACATATTAAACTCGAGAAAGTGATAAAGAGTTGAAAAGTCTATGGCCGCTGAACACAAATCCACCATTTAAATTTATTGAAAACAATATCCTTGTACGTTTGCACACTTAGTTTAACTTATGTTTATTCATGTTTAACTGACAACTTTTGTAACTTAAAAGCGTAATGGCAAGTTATTAAATTAATTGCATTTTAACCAATCATTAAGTTGACATAAAAGGATATATTCAGAAGCGATAGAATTATGTCTGTAGTATGCTTCTTTTACTGTAAAGGTATAAATTGTGTTCAGTTGTAACATCCTAGGCTACTCTCTAAGACATGCTAAGAAAAGGATTATTATATTCTTGGCTATATTATCTAACTACCTACATTTAATTATCTAGTATAGAAAGAGAAAATTTTATTCTAGCTACTCCTAACATTTGATGAAATCTAGGTATAAATAGACTAGTGTATAGTAAAAATTACATCCTATATTATTCAGGATACATGCCCGAATTTATAGATCTTGACAATTGTGATCTTAGTTTTTGATTTACGATTCGAAGAAGTTTAGATTTATGTACGTGTTTCAAAGTAAAATACTGCGGTTGCTATACGTCAAAGTATTACGATTTATTTCATAAAATAAGAAGCAATATAAAATAATGACTAGTAAATAAATTAATTATTTGTTATAGAGCTATACGTTTGTTAAATAATAAAAGTACCGTTTAGACTTTCACCAATCGATTTTAAACTTGTTCAAAGCATAAATAAAACAGTAGATAATACGTCGGCCACTTTATTAGTTCATCATAGCCTGGCAATAGTCGATCTTGCGTGCCGTTAAATGGAAAAATAAAAGTAGTTAATGCGGAACAAATTGCTTTGTATAATACGAATGAAAAATGCAAACAATATTAGTCTAACTTCCGATAACGTCGATTAATTGAATAATGGAAAATTCAGTTGCTTCTGTGTTTAAGTTATATATTATTGTGGTTCGGAATTCGAAAGATAGCAGATCTATTGTTAACGAAATCTGTGCACGAGCACGTAGTTTTGATAAACACGAGTGTTTGTGCAGCTGCTCGGGGTTCGCCGATGAGGCAGCACGCGCAGAAAGCCTTCGACTCCATCTTTCATTAGGAAAAATAAACGTAATCCCTTATAACAACACTGGCACCGAAATTAACGCCTTCACTATTATGTGGCGTGTTAAAAATACAATTACATTTCAGTTGAAAAAATAAGTATATTTCTCCCATTTCAGGATTAAACGCCGTAGAAGTGACTGACTTTGCGTATTTTTATCATTTCGGCTAAATCTGTCTGCGTCGAAATATACGTAGCTCGAACGAAACTAGGAGGAGCGTTCTATGAAAATTTTCCACTCGAGGTAAAAGGTTGGATAAAGAATACGCTGTATTTGCGTTTGAGTGTTTGCTCGGCGCTTCCCATTTGAGAATCGTTATAGCAAATCGCGTGTAAACACGGCCTTTAGCCAAGTTAACGATTACAAAACGATAAAGGAGTCCAAGAAAATGATATGAAATTAATATTAATCTTGGTGTATGATAAACTCGTAAAATTTGGTTTTCGTCTTGTAATAGTTGACTTAGTCCCACGGACGCTCGTACCTATTTTGGTGGACTCGGATTGGTCAAGACAATATTCCGAATTTTAAGCAATAAATAGCATATCTCAAAAGCTGGACGTTTCATAATTGACGGCGTGGCAGATTTATCTAGATGGCTCAGTCATTGTTAGAGGTGTAAACTTGTTAGTTAAGTTAGTTGTTCACACGAACTTTTGCCATGCTCGGCATGAGTTAGTGAAATGGGAAGTTTGTCACCCGAGTTATAGATAACACGGAGTGTATGCGTTTTTCAAGTTATCCGATGGGTTAAGTTAAGCTGGTGCCTTATATCGTTAGTGGAATGCAGTGTCGTTAGCGCGAGTTCACAGATGCATGGCGTGTACATTGTAAACACCGCTTAGTTCGAGCGGGTGGTATGGAAGGAGTGTCGCCAAGTGGTGATAGTGATTGCCGGACAGTTGGTGGTGCAAGCTCGCCAGGGGATTACCTGCAGGGTATGGCAGCCCGAAGCTAGGATAGCCCGAATAGCTACGCCCTGCCGCATAAGCGGCGTACGCTGCGGGGAAACCTGCCGAATAAACAAACATACATTAATCAAACAAGCAAACCTTTTTTCAAACTTTGCTCTTATATAATAACATATGTTTCGTTGCGAAACGTTTATATGCTTTATATTGTGGCATAGTCTGGAATCAGATTTATTTAACAAACACAAAGTTAGCATAAGATGTGCTAATTGAGACGGACGTGCCGCCTTTAATTTTACACCTTGTCAATATGTCTGTCTGATCTTTAAAAAGATTTAGTTAATGACGTGTGTCCTAATGGCCCCGTTCTAAAATAGCACCATCAAATTAAGGTATGGGTACACAGCTTTGGACATTGTCCAGACGGTATTATTCTGTAAACATCGTTTAAATGTAGCGCTATAAGTGACTCGAGATGACCTCGTACAGCTACAAAAACATTCCACTTTTACACCAAATTGCTATTAGATACAACTAGGGAAACTACACATACTAAATGGATCGTTAACTACGCGAAATATAAACAAGCAATCACATTGTTCTGTGGTATTGGCTTTTCTACATCCGGGAGAAGTATGAGCGATGCCTGGTACGTCATCGAATAATTATCACACCGGATCGTTCATCATATTATTGCCAATCAAAATAGTGTATCTGTCAGGCCACATGATGCATCGTGGACACTTCGACGTGTAGGTTCTGGGTAATCCATTTATTAGGTCCACCACAGCTTATATTAGTTTGAAGTGAAAATATGTCAAAGCAATTAGTGAAGGTGGATGCGGTCTGTACACGGAATAAGTACGAATTTCGACAATCGTGTTAAGTTAGATATGAACATTCATATGGGTTAAATGTTGAACGTGAAGTAGAAAAAAATTGTTATAATAATGTAAATAATAGACTTACCGTCAGGAAGAGCACCCAATGACCACATGAAATCTAGAAATGTAAAAACATTTACATAAATTGATCGATCTTATACACTACATTGAAATATTCGTGTTTGCAAAATTGGTTAATTAGTGTGCCGCGAGACACTATTTTGCTTGGCGAAAACGGTCTTCAAAACTGCATATAATACTTATTCAATATAGCATTCGACAACAATTCTAAACTCTACGATTATCATAAGCTAGAATGGAAACATGGGGTAAGTTAGTCTCCACCACCATAGATGAATATTATATTTTTATATCGAAAAACGTTAATCTATTCTACATATTGTTAGTCTAGAGCTAAACATGTTAAACAAACAGACTTCTTTAAAAATTCAATAAATGATATTTATTATTCTATATTTACTACCGGAAAAGAATCTACTTAATAAGTTAACACAATTATTAATACTATTAGTCGTACGTACTACGTTTGGTAAATACAAATTTAACATTTAACACTTGTTATACATTGAAAACAAAATACTGAAAATACAAACTAAATAGGAACTAATAGAAGAACAAAATAACGATTACTCATTAAAGAAGATAGGAAAGTATAAGTACAGATAAATAAAAATAAATAAATACAGTCTAAATAATATATAATAGTACATCTGAGACGTCCTCAAACTGACTAATGAAACCTAGTATAAATAAATCTTATTATTATAAATACTATTTCACAAAACTCTTATGTATCGACTGTTCACAAATACCTCTCTGCTTCCAACGATAACATTTTTGAAAAGCCGACATCAAGTTGTAAAGCTATTCATAGAAAATGCTAAAGAATATAAAGATTATTTATGAAAATATCATTTCAAAGGATCGCATAGAATTAGCCGCAGTAATGTAACTAAAACTTTGTTCTCTAAAGTGGTTAACTTGTATAATATGGATGGAAATGTAGCAAAACTGGCAAGACTCGGCAGAACCGACGGGCTCTTAGTTTATTTTCCCTACGAAGCTACTCGGAAATCAGGAAAAACCAGGCTCAAGTCTATTTCATCTATCTATTTGTTAATCAAATGAGAAAGCACCTACAACCTGGTAGAAAAATAGTCTCCTTTCTATCTCCCTACGTAAAATTGCACGCGCATCTTTCTACGTTTCAATAAAAAATTTGTTCGTATAAAAATTTACAGTTGACTATGACTCGACTAAAATCTCTCTGTATAATACAAATGTTAAAATCTGCTAACTAACTGATTTGCCTAGTTGCAATTACTAAAAATAAGACACTTTATATTATCAATTTAAGTACATTCAAATCGAGAGTTAGGAAAATTAGGAATGTATGAAGATATTAGGAATGGATAGGACAGATTGAAATTAAAACGTGACGCTTCGTTAGAACGGGTGATGGGGCTGCTGTTGGAAGAGAATCGCGGATCAGAGGGGCAACGGGGTGGGTAGAGTTGACGCAGCGAGTGGAGAGTAGATAGTGGGGATGTCTAGCGCGTGGGCGCCGAGGAGTTCGGAAACGGAGTATGCGAGTGGTGGAATGAGGGGTGTGATGGTGGGACGTGGGGGGCGTGGGGTCGGTCGGAGGGCAGCGAGTGCCCGGCGATACATAGCTGCGTGCGCGGTAGACCCCCCAGCGCCGGTGACCAGGATTTGCGGCGCGTGAACAGGATAAGGGGCATATCGGACCCCACCGGCTGCGACCGCGCTACTTAGCAACTCACCGTAGGCGCCGCGTCCGGCGGCTCTCGTTTTCGCCAGATTCGCCGGAAGCATCACTTCTTTCGGTTGCGCCTTTTTGCATTCCACCTGGAACAAGTGGTCACTTATCAAGATGGCTACTTAGCTATAAGATATGTGTGATATATATGCTTAGTTATTATATAAGTTAACGAATATAATCGAAGTTAATTATCGATTCATTAGAGGTCAAATTCGATGTATAAGTTGATAAGGTATTAGATGTTTTCTAGATAGGCAACATTCAATTAAAATGTCAAAGGTACAGATAAAACAATTATAATTTAAATATTAATGAAGTGTTAAATATTAAAATTCTCGACGGCCCCGAACAAATATCATTACAAATTGAGTTGCAGATTTGTTAATCAACTAAACTTGTAATTTTATGTATATAAGTGCACGGGAAAGGCGAGGCTGCTCCAATACAAGTTAGTAATCCACTTTCTGGAATAGCCTCAAACTATTTGTAATTTAATTATTAAAAAGACAATTAACATATTTTATTATTTATTATTTATTATTACGAGGAATTCGAGCTAACTCATCAATATGTAAAGTGTAGTAAACAAATAAAACACAGAAGAATACGGTATTACGCCGCCTGGAATAATTGTTTATTCTGAATTTGTTTCCTTTGAATTACGTACAGAGGGATGGTGGAATTTTCTTAAAAAATTCATGGAACCTAACAAAATTCAGGTTATTCTGTGAAAGATTCTGTTTTAACTAAATGTTTGAGTATAATTTACAATAAATAGCAGTAATATGATAAATCATTTATATTGACATCTCAACAAGATGTGTTGTCGACCTAATTTGGCTTTGGACATTCAGAAATCCTTAGACTATAACCCAAAAGCACTTCATTTTTCATTTATCTAACTTAATCTGTAGAATTGTGAAATTCTCATTATAATATATAAATAAAGATTTAAAATATTTAAATTAAATTCAGAGATATATTAAACAAAGACTCATATATCACTTTCAAGTCTATACATTGGAATGTAAAGATATAGCCATTGTGGTTATGAGTAGATAAATGTAGTCCGTATTAAAACCCAGCTTAATCGTTTCATTAAGCAATTTTAACGAACGCTATGGGTTCTACATTGCTTGTACTTTCCCCTTTCAGAGGGCTGGAGGCAAGTATAAATTACCCAATCTACGCTAACCCAAATCTTTGGCAATAGAAATTCACAACAGCTACAGAGTAAATTCTATGTATAACTAAACCAATTTAATATATTTTGTGCATATTTTTAATTACTTTTTTAAATACTGTCTGTAGCTTACGCGAGTAGTAAACATTTAAATAAAACACTTTAACAGTTTAAAACGCGATATATTAGTTAAACTTATTTGAACATGATTTTTAACTTCGGCCCGACATTTTGGATGCTTTGCAGCAGCCGTCTCTCCGTGACCACGGCTGCTGCATATATTTATACATTTATTTCAAAGTTACAAACTATTAACCCAAGAAACGACATCGCAAGATAACATCATGTTACAAATGTTTTTGTCATCCGGTTTAAAATGTAGATAATGTGACATCGGTGCTGCATGACAAATGGTAACGTTTAAAACCGCTCGTCAGACGGACTAAATCTCCCGAGATACATTTTTCATAGCCTTGCATAATCGCGACGCGTTCTCACTTCTCTGTACATAAAGACTCGTCCACATTTGTCACGGACGTCACGAGCCGACAAATGAAGGCTTTACCGCGGTACTTTGGAGGCTGCACTTTATACAACTTTGTACAGACACGAACTACGTGCTTTCGCATTAACACGGGGAAGTGTGTGAGTTTGCTGTGAGTGTCTTTTCACCGAGTTTTATGTAGAGATAAGTCTTGAATAATCAACATGTAAAGCTCGTGTCTGAAGTTCAGATTGTTTGTAGATATTACTAGCGCATAATTAGTTTGAGTTTCGTCTAATAAAGAGTTATTTATAGTGGCATACATTTACGCTTTACCACACCTATATGCGTCACGCGATTGCTCGCTGTACGCATATAGCATTGTATTGTTGTATGACAAAAATAATTAAAACAGGTTTGAAAAAAACAACAGAGCTCCAAGTTTATATTCGATTTTTTATTTTTCTTAAATTTATCATATCAAGAAAACAATTACATTTATTTATATACTGATAGCAATAAAAACCACTAAGGTTTAATCTGATGCTATTGTGAGTTTACATAACATCTAATTAACTGAGTTTATTTAATAAATATACAAGATAACTAGCAAGCTACCATCTTGTCTACGCATGCATTAAGAGAAAAACAAAAAAACTTAAGGAAATGATCCTTTAGCTTACCTTTAACATTGATTTGATTACAAATAGCAATAAGAAGAATTAGTGAAACTATAAATAAATATAATATAATAATTTAGTTGTTCCGATGTCGCAAATAGTCAAATCGATAATAGCGCGTGCAAATTACAAGCTTCTGCAATTCAAAAGTTACGAGAATAACTCACACGACCCACTATTTAATGCTATCTGAATAACGATATTTCAATGAAATAGGTGGATAAATTGAAATTCTCTGCATCGAAAATACATTTATCACTCAAAATTTTATTAGCACGATCGATACTCGAATTGAATCGACTATAATAGAATCCGGACGAGTCGGTCCGCAGTGGAAAATGATTTCGAAAAACCCACGTATAATGCGGCCACGAAGAAAATTCAGTCCGGAGCCGGCATTAATTGATGTCGCTCCGTCGGCGAGCGGAGTGGGAAACAAAAGCTTACAAACAATTCGCATCGGGGTTCGCATTGCCGATCGAGCGTTCGAAATCGCGACGCAGTTTAATGACACGAAAAATAACAAAGGTAAATTGCTAGCCCCGCTAGGTAGACGCCCTGCCGATCTATCGATCGAAGCGAACTCCGAGATCGCGATTCGAGCGGACTTAAGAATTGCTTCGATAGGCTTGGGCTGAGCCGGGCTTTTCTACGCTAGCCGCGTATGAGGAATTTAATTGTCTCGCTAGAAATCACATTTTACGATCCATCACTCGGTTATGCGGATTAATACGAATCTAAAAGCAGTCATTAAATTTACGCTCGATTTAATCGGAAGGAATTCTCTCGAGCTGAAGTAAGTCTACATGTCGCGTAAGACAGTGAAGGGCGAATACGCAAAGTGCTTCGTATTGTTCAAATGTTCGGCGCTGATGTTTGTTCAAATACGTTGTAACGGAATAATCACATTTTTACCATTTTACACATTTCTATTCTTCAGTCGACAAGACGATGTGTTATTTTTTATTCTTCCTCGCAGTTCATTTGTTAAAACGTGTTATTTTAACAGTTAGTTGCAAGAAGCTCTCGAAAATGAAGAAGAAGAAGAAAGAGTAGTTACTATATGAACTGTAATAATGTTTAGTTTGGCTTACTAATTACTATATATAGTAGACTTATTTGAAAATGATTTTTAACTAATATATCGCGTTTTAAACCGTTAAAGTGTTTTATTTAAATGTGTACTACTCGCGTAAACTATAGACAGTATTTACTAATTATTATAACATTTATTTTCCAATATATTTGAAAGATTATTGTTTACATTAATAGTGTAAATTGTAAAATAGTTATTTTGAATCACCCTGAGGTATTATATCTAAACTATGTAAACAACTGTGTGTGACTGATGGTTTTAAAATGAATAAAAAATAAAACGAATTCTTATTATGGACTATTTATTACTGTGATATATTAGGGCAAAGATATTTATCTTATTTTGAAATAAGTTGTATTGACATTAGATGGGTTTTTGAACTTTCATATTTATATTAATAACTTATATGCCTTTGGAATACTTTTAACACGAAAATTTATGTAAATTGAAGTACATCCAATAATACAAATATATCATATCATTTTTCGGTTTGGCCGAAAACCGGTGAGAACCTCTTCCCGACAGCCCGAAAAATGATATGCTTAACGATAGCCTTGAAAGCCTTACACAATTTATTAATACAAATATAGTTATTATTATGAGTATTATGTAATACATAAGCTATTAGAATTTTCCAACATTTTCTGTGGCTTATTCAAGTATGTCTTATTTCATTTGTTTTTTTTTCTTAAATTTAAAATGACTGTTTATAAGATTCTGTTTGTTCTTCTGAGATTTTTGTTTCCTTTAAACTCTTGCAGCGGAGAGCGGGCATTTGGCCAAATAGACCACTTTTATGAGAGGATAAAATATTGCGAATCCTCAACAAATATAAATTATTGGAACCCTTCATTTTTTGCTGGTTACTGTGTCTTAAGTCGGCTAGCATTTTGATTTAGGATCTTTGTGTTTCACATTCCGTTATTATAGTTTAAATTACATTTTTATATTTGTAGAAAATATAATTTTAAATTTATAGCTTAGATATTGTTTAATAAGAAAACCAATATAGAATTAAATATATCTTTCAGCACTTTTAACGGGTTTAAACGCAGCAGCGACTATTTTAAGTATTCCTAAAACTTTTACAATATTAACTAAAAGAAGAGGCAAATAATGGATTTTGTATTTGCTTGTATAAATTTAGGGGAAGTTTTTAAAGACGGGAGCAATAAATGCGAACTCCCCTAAGGGTAGGGTTAAAGGAGGACGTTAGATAAGTTTATCGGATGAATCTCTATTCATATTGAAAGAGCGATGAGAGCATCAAATCCTATTTAATTACATATAGAAAATTAAGTAATGAAAATTCGAAATAAAAAAAACAACATTCCGCGTTTTTTTCCATCGTTTTCTCTTTTCCTACACCTCTATTGGTAACTATATGATCGATAAACGGTCAAAACAATACAAAAAAAAAACTGTTATACTTTATAATATTAGTATAGATAAAATATCTTGGATCCGGTTCTAGTATCGACGATTTTAGTTCAATATCAAAACACACATATTACCGCTGTACGAAACAAATCGTTCATATAAAATAAGACAAAACGTTCCAATATTCCGAAGAGATTTCTGTTAAGCAGGCATATTTCTCATATCCCAGTTACACGTAAGACTTGCCGATATTCTGGGCTTTA